CAAGCAAGTCGTCTCCGGCCCCGAGGGCTCCGCCCGCGCCGCGCTCCCTTTTTCCGGCTTTCCTTTCCTGGCTTTTCCGTCTGTCCCGTGCACGGCCCAGCCCCGCATCCCGCCGGCCCGTTAGTCCCGACTCGGGCCCCAAGCACAGGTCCCCCGAACGGGATGCCCTGCCCCGGGCTGTCCACTAACCGACATCCACAGGCCTCTCCAAGGAGCGTCCTGCTCCACTGCCGTTCTCCCCTTGACATCCTGCACCCCCTCCCTCGGACAGCTGATCCCGCCTCGGGGGAATCGGGGAGTCCTGGTGGTGGGCTGCTCATCGTGAGGTCGGCAGTTTGAAACCACCAGCCGCGCCACTCCGTGGGAGGAGGAAACCCGCGGGGCCAGTTCTACCCTGCCCTGGAATGGGCTCGATGGCAGGGGGTTTGGTTTGGGGTTTTGAAAATTTGAAGCACAGTTCTTTGCAGAAGACGACGGTGCGCCAAAACAAAACGAAAAAGCCCCACGGGAAGCTGATGCAGCCCGATGGCGCCGCGGTGCCTTGCGATGTGCCCTTTATCCATACCTACCCTGGATGTCTCCCTGAGAAAACATACGGGAACCGCCTGTTTTCTTCTCACACACGACCCCCGTTCCATGTTCCCCTTTCCCCACTTCCTGGAGCTAACCACCAGTTTCTAACTCTGCGCCCTTAGCTCCGGACACCACCTACCCAGGGTCAAGGGGCCAGTTGCAGCGGCACCAATGGGCCAGGTGGAGTTTGAGCTAGCCTGCGCGGCGGTCAAGGAGCTCAAGGGTCCTGTGAGCGACGGGGAGAAGCTGCTGGTGTATAGCTACTACAAACAGGCCACCCTGGGCGACTGCAACATTCCGGCACCGCCTGCCACGGATGTGAAAGCCAAGGCCAAATGGGAGGCGTGGACCAAGAACAAAGGGATGACCAAGATGGACGCCATGAGGATTTATGTTACCAAAGTGGAAGAGCTGAAGAAGAAGGAGGAGGGTTAGGGAGGATGGCCAGGTGGGGGGACAGATTGGGCCCTCCTCCTCTGACACGTAACCCTGCTTCCTACGCCTTTGGAAGACACAGGGCAGAGAGGGCCTGCAGTGGTAGCAATTTTAGCTAAGACATCAATAAATCACCAACTGCATATGTGATTGTCTGAATTGTCGGGAAAGAGATAAGCTCAGAGTGACTGAGAAAGTCCAAGGAAAATGTCCAAAATGGATTTAAAACGCATGCTAAGTGGAATGACATTAGAACTCCCTGCATGCTTCTGAGTCGTAGCTAGAGTTCCCAGCATTCCTATTGCCAGAACATAGGTTGGTATTTAGCAG